GTGTCCATTTGACGTGAGCTGGAGTCATCAGAGGAAGGACCCTTAGCTGAGAAAATGCTCCATGAGATCCAGCTGTAAGACATTTTCTCTATTAGTGATCAATAGGAGAGGGCCCAGCCCACGGTGGGTGGTACCATCCCTGGGCTGTTTGTTGGTTTTGGGTTCTGTAAGAAGGTAGACTGAGCAAGCTGTGGCAAGCAGGCCAGTAAACAACACCCCTCCATGGCCTCTGCATCAGCCCCTGCCTCTGGGATCTTGCCCTGTTTGAGTCCTGTCCTGACTTCCTGCAGCGACCAACAGTAATGCTTTTCTTTCCCAAATTGCTTTTAGGTCATGGTGGTTTTGTCACAGCAACTGAAACCCTAACTAAGACAGTAGTTCACACATATTTCCATTGAATTCAGAAGCAGAATTTTAGCCAGGCAGTGGGGGCACACGGCTTTAATCTTAATACTCGGGAGACAGAGGCAGGTGGATCTCTGTGTGTTTGAGGCCAGCCTGGTCTACAAGAGCTAGTTCCAGGACAGCTAGGACTGTTACACAGAGAAACCCTGTCTTGAAAAGCCAGTAAATAAATAAATAAATAAATGAAAATAGAAGAATTTTAAAGTAAATTAAGATGCTGTGTGTGGAAGTTGTAACTAATGTCGGTGTGATACTTCATGCCTCTCACTATCTTCCATGGCAGGTAGGCAGAGTCAGATAGCCACAATACACTGGTGGAGACTTAGCCAGATATCTGACTTAGCCAGATATTTTAAATCACCCATAAGTGGCATCGCTGAACCTCATGCTCTCATCTTTCTACTAAGCCAGAGTGGGTTTGTGTGATGTAACTGGGTGCTTAAGACACCAAATGAAGGAAAATTACTATGGTTTTTAAAGCTCCCTTTATCTTTAGAGACAGGATTACAAAGTTCTGTTAGTTCCATTGTGCAATGCACTACTTACACTAATACTTAATTCCACTCTGCCATCATGATCAAAGCTCACGAACAACCCACTTTTCCAATGCCTGGGCCAGATGCCAGAGATAGGAGGCAATTGTAAAGAATGCTGGCATTGCAGACTACTGGGGACAACCCGAGACCCAGTCTTGGCTCCACTGTTTACAGAATATGTATCCTGGGTAAGGGACATGTGTTTAACCAATTAAGCACTCAATAAATGCCAGCTATGTATCAACAAAGAATTTCCCTGGTGTAATAACAAGCACCCGGTAAACCCAGGAGACTTAGGAGGCTGAGGTAGGAAGATCATCTGAGACAGAATTCAAGGCGAGCCTAAGCTACAGAGTAAGACCTTTGTTTCATAACCAAAACAAGAAGAATACTAGAGGCCCAGAGTATAGCTCATTTGGTAGTGCTTTCCTTGCATGTAGAAAGCCCTGGGCTCAGTCTTGATCCCTGTACTTTGTAAAACCTGGCCTGGTGGCTCATGTTTATTACCAGCCTGTATTGGAGGCAGGAGGATCAGATACGAAATCAAGGATTTGAAGTACAACTGCCTCATTTTCTTTCTTTGTACTTTTGGAAAAAGACTTGTATTGACAAAGATTGAAAAATAAAAGTCTTCTTATAATGTAGACAAAATCCTCATGAGCCATCTTAAGTTATCCAAACTCAACAAAATAACCATCTTTCCCAGTCCCTTATGTTTCTCCTTTGAAAGGCTCAGAGGCTGACCATGGTGGTGCAGGTCTACAATCGACCTTAGGCAGCTCAGGCAGGAGGGTTACAACATCCAGACTTGCCTGGTGTACAGAATGAGCTCAAATGTAGCTTTGGGAAATTTAAAGATAACTTGCCTCGAAATAGTAGAAAGAGAAGTGGGTAGAGCATGTTTCTGGGGTGCATTATTCTTGTGGTTTAATCCCTAGACCATGGGCTGTGGGGAATGAATTCTGCTAACATTATTGAAATCAAAGAAAATTGGAGGCAAAGAGGTCTTTGGAAAGCCATTCCAAACTCTCCTTTGTAAGTAAGGAAACTGAGGTACAGGGAGCATAAGAGAGTTTGCAAGTCCTATCTTTACAGGAACCAGGTCTCATCATTCCGACACCTTGTTCATTGGCCTCCAGAATAAGGATGGGGTGAACTTTTATTGCCATTAAAGCTTCTCCATGCTTATAAACATTTAAAAATAAAAATAGCCTTGATTGGCTAAAACTTCAATTTAGGATGAAAACTGGGGCAGGCTGCTTTCTTGGCAGTGGATGCTATGAGGTTTTGATATTTTGTCTATTTTTGTGCTGCTATAGAAGTGTTGAAGCACTGGGGTACTTACATGTGACTCTTTAGTGGGCATTTCATTTTACTGTAGACTGTTCTGGGTGCCCTAAACTGCCAATCATTCTTTTCCTAAATAAATCTCATGTTAACTTGAACTCCATGCCTGGTGACACAGGACACATTGGGAAGACCTACAACACTTTCAGTGAAGCCTGCCCTCAGGTTCATGCGGTCTTTCCTGGAAGGCCCCCTGTCACCCTGCTGACACAAGAGATGTAAGTTTTCGCTGAGATGATAAGACAGGAGCTCCTGTGGCCACCATTCCACACCCCGAACTGGTTTTATTTCTATGTCCGCATCTATGCTAACATACAATATGCCGTGAAGTCCCATTATTTGGCAATATTTCGATCTCTCTTTTAAACAGTTTTCATCACCAGGACAGTTAGGAGTAGGTAGAGGTGAGAAGGGGGAAGGAAACAAACCAGATGAAGACCTGAACAGTCATTTTCAGTCTGTAAATAATGAGATTTGAAATACTTAAAATTTCAGCTTTATTTCTGAGGAGAGATGATTGAAAGATGGGGCTTGGGTAACAGAATACCGGATTTCTTCATGGTGGGCTCCAGAACTGGGCGTGCTCTCCCACTCTGGGTAACAGAATAGCTTTAGTTCTCCAGGGTGGGAGCCTCCTCCATGAGTGATCAGCTCGGCTGAGTGTGCACTCTTCTGATTCACCCCGTGTGTGAGGAGGTCAGGCAGCTTTCTAGGCTTGCGCTCTTCTGAGTCCGTCTGTCTAATCCACATTTGTGCTGCTTTCAGGCACATGTCCAAGAAGACAGTGAAGGGCTAAGACTCAGATACACCGGCATAACCCTTTACCAATAACTCACAGCCTCTATCCTGGGGAGGGCAGGAGGTTAAGCATTTTTAGGCAACTTCTCACCTGTTTATTGGAAGTAGCAGAAAGAGAGAGGCCCCTGTGACCCAGCATTAGCCAAGACTCCACAGCTGAGGCTTGGTCCACACTGGACACCAGCGTTTACAAACAGTAACTCTAGAGGATGCCAGAGACAATGATTATTCCCTGCACCTAGGTTTTTGTCCGATAAAGTGATTTCTGCGTCTAGCTTGTGTTAAGTGCCTCATGAACAACCTTGATTTAATTATCATATTCTACCCCCCCCCCATTTTAAAGCAGGAAAGTGACTCGGGTTTAGAACCCTCCATGGCATGTATGTATGTGTATGTATGTATGTATGCATATATATGTGTGTGTGTGTGTATATTGTTGTATGCTCTTAGCCATGATAAGAGTTGAGTCCCAGACTTTTGCCACCATCCTTTAACTGCTGACTTTCTCCTCTGGAAGACCTGTCCCTCACCCACATTTTAGGTGAGGAAGCCAGAGCGCTGAGAGAGTAGGTGGCAATGTACCACCACAAGGTTGGAGAGAGGAGGGTGAGCAGAAGTGGGTAGACTGAGGTTTGGAAGCGTTGGTTGGTCAGCTGTGAAATGGCAGAGACTTCAACACTCTTAGATGCTGATGGAGCCTAGAACAGCTAGCAAGTGAGACAGAGAAAGGACTCATTTCTTGGGCTGAAGACAAGGGTCTGTGGGTGCATGCATGGACTCTTGGGGAATCAGAGTGTCTCCTGCTCTTTCTCAGAACAAGGTGAAGGTTAAGAAGTTTGTAAGTTTAATGAAAAAGAAAACAATTTATCTTTGGATCGTTCTCATTTATCCTGTTGTATCCAGTTTCTCTGTCAGTTTCTGCAGTATCCTTAAAGCTTCTGCCTTTGACAATCTGGGTTCCCAGGGAATTGAGTGCACCTGGGTATTCCAGGGTCATTACCCAGTGTGCACCAGCAGGCCCTGCCCTTATTCCTGAAGAGTGGAGCATCCTTCTAGGAGAAGGGTCTTGGTTTGCAGAGGGCCCCAAACCACTTGATAAATAAGCGATAAGACAAGACTCAGCCTTGGTTTAAGACATGGTATCACCCTGCAGGAGTCTGTGATTTGGACTACATAATTACAGGCATGAATATGGCAAGAGAATAGCTCTAGTTCTTCAGGGTGGGAGCAAGAGAGGGAAGAACCATCAAAGAGACAGGTTTGCTGCGGTAGAGGAGAGACGAGGCTGGGCAGAAGACAGAAGTCTCTGGAAGAAGAACTAGTCAGGGAGAGAGTTAGCAAACCGAGCAGTATCCAGTATGGGGAGGTTTTATCAGCCACGTGGCTTTGAATGAAAGCATGGGAGTATTTTTAGCCAAGAAGCATAAGGAAAGTCATTTTATGGAGAAATTGACCTAGAAGGGAGCCTGTGGTATTCACATTTAGCAGAAGCATGGAATCTATAGGGTAGTTGTGACTTCCTGTCATGGGTTTTCCTGTCAAGCATGAATGTGGCTCATGACATCCCAAAGCAATGACAACCATGAGAGCCAAGCTTGCTGGCTACTAGACGGGGTCTAGTAACGTGAAGGAAATTTTAAGTAACCAGGAGAATTAGGAAGTGGGCATGAACTGTGGGTGAAGTTCACCCACTGACTTGGTCGGAATGGTGTCTACATTCAGTTTGCCGTGTAGTGCAGGATAGCCCACAGGATGGCAGTGTTTTCCTAGGTGTTACCGGCTCTCTGTTCACTGATTGAAAGTGAACTAGAATATTCTTGCTCCTTCAATTACATGGATAGCAAAACGTGCCTTCTCATAACCGCCTTGACAGAAAACCAAATTAAATGGAAAACATTTCTCTCTCTCTTTCAGTTAAGAAAAAGAAGCCTAAACTTCTGAACAAATTCGACAAAGCAATCAAGGCCGAGCTGGATGCTGCAGAAAAGCTCCGGAAAAGGGTAGGTTGCTGTTTTTGTTTTGCACAACAATGTGCAGTAGTTTTATCATTAAAATCTTGGAGATTGTCAATTTTTGGAAAGTGTAATAATAATGATGACACCAATACTAAACGGGAAAGGAATAATCTGTGACCTTCCCGGACACCTTGGCACATGTGAACCAAGTCACGTGGGCATCACTGCACTCCAGGGCCACAGTGGATGAGGATGGCCGTCAGGACCTCTGACCTAGTGTCAGCTTTCCTCCATCGGCTTCTGTTTGCATGGATTCTGTAGCTGCTCGGCCACTGCAGGCTTTAGTTTCCTCATTTATAGAATAAAAATGATATGTATGAGTCCCAAATCCCTCTTGGTTTTTGTAAAACTCATAAGAAAAAAGATGTTGCCACTGCCCAATACCATGTTACCATCACAGTCAATTCTATAGGCCTTAGTGCAAACACAAGAGCCTCGAGTCCGGCACCTGTGGCCATGAAATGACACAGGCCTGGTGTTCTCCTCACACACAAAGCTCGTGGCAGCTTTGCTCTGTTATCAAGTAATGGGAATGTTCTGCTTCATCACTAGATGGTTTAACTTTTGAAAACGATGAATCGACATAAGATTGAAGTCTTTATCTCCATTAGTGTAGTCATAGCTATGTAACACATTACAATAATAAGATAATCCACAATATACTTATTATAGTGTGGTCAGGATGTTTAATTAATTATCTTCTTGTGTTTTTTTTTTATCTTAGAAATGTCTTTTTGACTGCATTTAAATTCAGAGTCTGTAGTGGTCATTAGTTTTTCTGCTACGTGCTTTTCTATCAAGTAGCCATTAGCTGCAAAGAAGTGGGCTAAAGGCACGCAAGCAAGGAAGCCACTCAGCAGAACCATGCAAGTTAGGAATGGGAATGGGATAAGCTTGCACTTCTCACCTGTTTATTGGAAGTAGCAGAAAGAGAGAGGCCTCTGTGCCCAGCATTAGCCAAGACTCCACAGCTGAGGTTTGGTCCACACTGGACACCAGCGTAACAGTAACTCTAGAGGATGCCAGAGACAGTGACCATTCACTGCACCTAGGTTTTTGTCCGATAAGTGATTTCTGCGTCTATCTTGTTTCACTTCATAAAGCAAATCTGTCCTATGAGCTTTGCTGTTGTTGTCATTTGCTTGTTTTTGTTTTGTGCATCTGTGTGGGGTTGCATTTCTCGATCCGAATGAAGCAGGGACCCTCTTCCCTCATCTCATTGTGTTTCCTTCCGAGTCTCTGCCCTGCATCATGCCTGTCATCTTGAGGAGGCTAGAGGAAAGGTGGCTTTTGGGCTAAAGCATAAATGAAGGCCCTTAAAGAAGGAGTCTTCTGTGGTTGTGATGAACAGTGAACACAGGCTGACTTACCAAGGAGCTCATAAGTCAGTAGGATCTCCAGTGCTGGCAGGGTGTTCTCCAGCCCCGCTCGTTTGGAGAAATTATGGTGTTTTCCTTAAGGAGCACTGTGAGTCTGTAACGGGGAGAATTAAAGAGGAAGGAACAGCAGCCTCGCCATTCATGTCTGCTCTCGAGACGTGTTGTGACAAAGCCATCAACATAATTAAGTCTTGTTTATGATTGTTTTTAGAGCTAGTATTTCCAAAAGATATGACTCAGTATACAAGAATAGTTGAAGACTGAGCCAAGGTGCCCCAGACAGCTGGTACAGCCTCGTCCATCCCTCACGTCCAAGTTCTACACTGTGGGGAAGCATGGGCTCACTTTCTGTTAGAGCCAAAATTGTATGGAATCAGATCACATTTGAATAACCTAAGATTTCTTTATTCGCTAATGGGTGTCTCTTCACATGTGTGGGTGTACACATGCCCTGATATCTGTGTAGAGATCTGAGGACAGCTTGCTGGCATCTGTTCTCTCCTGCTATGTGGGTTCCCAGCATCAAATTTGGATTGTCAGGCTTGGTGGAAAGTGCCTTAGCCTACTGAATCATCTCGTTGTCCCGGAATCATTGAATTTTTAAAAATAACATGTTTATTTAAAAGTTTCCTTTATCCACCCCACAGGGTTTAGTATAACCTAATGAAATGTATTCATTTTTAATGGAATTATTTATTAGAATAGTATATTTTAGTGGAATCATTATTGTAATAGTATTATAAATGAAAGTCTTTAAGGAGGTAATGTGTCTACTCTTCCTTTTTTGGTGGTGGTGGTTTGTTTGGCATTTTTTGGTGGGAGGTGGAGGTAATGAGAACGATAACAAGCAGGATGAACACAGGGAAGGTCACACCACAGCCTATAATTCTTGCTGCTCATGAAGTCACCTCTACTTCCTTGCAGGCAAAATTGAGAGAAACAGAAGCAGACTAGAATAGTCTAGTCTAGCAGAATAGAATAGGATAGGAGAGAATAGAATAGAATAGAATAGAATAGAATAGAATAGAATAGTTCAGCATAATAGCTGTCTGTATGGAGCCCACAGAGAAGCGCTCTGCTGCAGAGCTGAGTGGATAGTGAAGGGTCTATCCACGTGAGCTCAAGATTTCCCACATCACTCCAGGGGATTCTGCAGTCCATCTGCACCAACTGTCAGGATGGCCTTCAGCACTGCCCACTGGCTTCACACCAAAACAGTGTGGGCCTTGTACACATCTCTCCAGAGCTGTCTCTATATATGTAAGCTACATTGAAGAACAGATCATTTTAGGAAGTTAATTATTAATACTACATGCTTTTCAAATCAGAATAAGTGTGGAATAGCAGGATTATAGCTAGGAGAGATCTTGAGGGAGAGAAGCTGAGTAAAAACAGGCACATTAATATTACAGTCAACTCGTGTGAGCACCTACGATGATCCCCTATGAAAGCCACACAGCCTGTTGCTTGAGGCTGTCCAAAGGCTACGTTACCAAAGAGGAATGATGTGTTGTGAAATTTGTTATGAATCTTGGTGCTCCTGTGTTTTTGGTCTGTTAGTGGTACACTTAACACCATGGCCGTGAAAGTGGTTTTGGCAATTAAAGGATACAAAATAAGCAGAAATGGTCCACCAAAAGATAACCAAATGCTAATCCCTGGAATCTGTACAGGCTTCCTCACTTGGAGACAGGTCCTTCATAATGTGGTGGCATTAAGGATCTGGAGGTAGAGAGTCTACCGGATTCTCCATTTGGTCCCTTTGTTTCATTAAATGAGGGGACCATGATACAGAGGAGATAGAAGGTGGCATGCACAGAGAAGATGTGCACCTACCAGAGTGGCTGTAGGAGTGATGGGGCCACCAGCCAAGGAACACAGGAAGAAAGGGGTGGACTTCCCTCTAGAGCCTTTGGAGAGTGTGTGCTCTTGGCATTTCAGCCAAGAAAACGTGATTTTGATATCTGCCTGCCCATAACTGTGAAAGAACAAATTTCTCTTGTTTTAAGCTACCAGGTTTAACCAGGTGGTATGGTCCCACATCCATAGGAAGTGAAGGCCTACATTGGTAAACTGGAAAATGACCCCCCTCCCGCAAGGATAACCATTTCTTGAGACCCATGAATGTTGCCTTGGAAACATTTTTAAGATGGATCTTTGTAGGTATGATTTTCATGGACTGTCTGAAAGTCCCTGAATGTGTCGCTTTTAGAAAGGCAAGCAGAGATTTGGTTCAGCAGAAGGCAAGACAAACAGATGTAAAAGGAGACTGTCTGAAGAGGAAAGGGAGTGGAGCCATGTAGCCCCAGACCAAGAGATGCTGACAGCTTCAGGAGCTAGAGTGGTGTGGACAGATTCTGTCCTGGAGCCTCTCCAACACCTTGATTCCAACACCATGAAACCAATTCAGCCTTCAGCTCTCCAGCCATGAAATTTGTAGTCATTCATTGGCTCCCTCTTAGGACGCTGATTGTATTTATTTCTGAAGTATAGAGAGGGAGACAGGAGCTCATATGTGCCATGGAGGCAGGCATGTGTTCGGATGAGCCAAATCAACCCCGACTTCCACCAGAGACCAGTACCGTGGTCACTTGGACTGATGGTCTTCTTGTTTGTTCTCCGTCCTTTTCAGACTTTGAAGCTGTGGTGACCTCATTGCCCCCGACAGGCCTGAGGCATCCCGCATGTAACTTAAATGTATTCATGAAGAAAACCTGTGGGGACTCTGTCAATTTAGAAAAATGTGGTTATCTTCAACAAAAGTCTTGTTTCATCGTTACCAACACACCGCATTTTAAAAATTAAGATATATTCCTTTCAGTTTTAATGTCACAGCTTTGTCTTTTGTAAAGTAGCTGGTTCTGTTTAGCATTCAGAAAGAATTCCAAAAATTTCTGATTGAATTGTTTACTTACTATTAAATAACAAAACTAAGTATCATTATTCCCTGGGGTTTTATTCACACAGGGTAAAGTCGAGGAAGCAATGAATGCATTTGAAGAACTGGTTCGGAAGTACCCCCAGAGCCCACGAGCAAGATATGGCAAAGCACAGGTAGCCTGGCCTTTCTCAGAACGCTTTCCTGAAGCTCACATGTTTTGTGTAATCAGAGTTTTCTCTCTTCCACATTTGCTTTCTAATTTCTAGGTCATTTCCCAGATAGATAGATAGATAGATAGATAGATAGATAGATAGATAGATAGACAGACAAACACACAGACACACACACAAAGAAAACATGCCATCTTAATTGAAGCAATTTTCAATACTGCATCTGTCTAATCTAGTACTTCCAAATGACCTGTGTCAGGTTTTGCCAAGAAAATAGAGGGAGGGCACCTCTGCCATTAGTTTTCTGTCACCCCGATCTCCCTTCCGTTTGAATTTTCTATGATTTTCATTTCCGGTCTTTGGAGCATCTAGGCTCTGTCGTGTGATTCCTGACAATGGCGTCTGCCTTGGAGAGACCTTTTAAAATGTGGCATGGATGGTGCTTTGTTTCTTTCCCTTGATTCACTTCTCAGCAGCCACCTCCTCCTCATTTCATCTCCTCTTCTGGGCTTTATCGTCTTCCAACTCCTGTCGCAAGGCTTGGCCATATTCACCTACCTCGTCACGAGCCCAGCTGTGCTACAAATGTTTATTTTGCATTTGTTTGATAGTCAGCTGTGGCCACAAAAGAGGACAAAAAAACTGGCTAGACATAAAAGAGTTCATTGTGTTCCTGACCTTAAGATAGGAAACTGGTGCCCTGTGCACTGCCACCATGGAAGACGGCAGGAATGGCAGACAGATTCGGGTTGACGGTGTGGCATGATCTTTGGGATTAAAGGCGTGTGCCACCACTGCCCACTAGGCAGTGGGATTCTACGAGCATACTTATGTAGTCTCGGTTGCGGCTGATTTGAGTGAAGGTGACAGAGCAGACGACACTTTTCTTGGGGGGAAACTGAGATGAGTCAGGGTCATGGAAGGAGCTGCTAGGTAGAGGAAATAGAGAGACACAGGCCATGATTGGTGGCAACTGTATTGGTGTCAGAAATCTGAACAGAAAGAGGGGCCTACTGGGGGCAGGGGGCAGACAGGGAGGCCAGCAGCCCCTCCGTGCCTCGGGAAGCCTTTGGAGGCTATTACTCATGTAGGTGACCACCTGGTGGCTTTCTGTAAAGATTGCTTGGTTGCCAGTTGAGCGAGGGCACAATCAGATGCACAGAAAGTAGGTGGCTGTCTCAGTGTGGCATGCGTGAGATGCTGGTGGCATGGGCGGTGACCTGGCCATGGAGGGCAAGAAGGGCAAAGAGAGATTCGAAAGGACTTTAGAGAAAAGGAATTGACCACTGACTCCTAGCTTGTGGTGAGTACCTGAGGAAGGGAATGCGAGTTCCTCGCCAGGCCAAGCAGCTGTAGAGCTGAAGTTTGCAATTGCAGTGGTAATTAGAGACCCATGGGGCGCATCAAGGAGACCATGAGATTATGGAATTTGGAAATCAAGAGTAAAGCCAGAGCTGGTGAAAATTACGTCAAGGAGTAAACTTCGTGGAGGAGAAGGAGTGCTGCGGTCGAGCTTCGGTGGGATACAGGTCCCAGAGAGGAGATATGGAGCCAGTGGGGGAAGAAAAGTACAGATGCACAGCTGAGGGTTTAGCAGCACTCTCCCTCAACCAGAGAGACTGTTTATATACTACGTTGATTACATAGGTCATTTGGCAAGTATCAGGGCCCTGGATCCCCTGGATCCCTTTTTACTTCCTCATTAATTGCCCGGGGTGAAGAAAACAAACTACAGAACAGACAGCCTTATCCAAAACAGCTTTAGACAGCGGCTGTCAAATCAGGAAGTTACAAATTCGTCAGGGTCTGCAAAATATAGGACCTTCTGTTTTTTTTACCATCTGTGGCTAGGCCGCCTGCTCATGTGGTTATAGTATGTTAGACAGTCTGAAATTATTTTTACCTTAACCAAATAGAATCATCTGATGTTTTCTAAAATGCAAGCTTTACAAAACAAGTCATAATAAGCAATTGACTGGCTGGTTACAGCATTTTCATGTCCCTTAGTTTTATAGTAGGGACCTATTCTTTTTATATGCTCCCAGAAAGGAAGACCCTGGTACAGGGCTTCTTTATGGATATGCTTGTGACATCCTGTACCCAGAATTGAGCAAGGCATTTCTCAAAATCTCCCCCATTGATGCCACAATCCTTGGGGTACAAGGAAGACCCTTCCTTCTGTGGCTCTCATTTCAGGTTGTGACCCCCCTGTCTTCAAAGTTTCCCTCAGGAACATAAATATATTTACCCAGGGGCAGCCTAAGCAGAAAGTCCCCATTATTACACAAGAGCTCCTAAGTGCTCCAGCCACAGATTCTCTTGATGAAGGTTCACTGGAACGTCGACAATCCGTGTCTTCTGCTTCATGACTCACGCTGTCCCTTGTGCCCTTCCCTTCACCAAAGGAAATGATCTCGGACTGGAAAGCAATAGGTGGAGAGCTTCAGATGTTAGTGTACCAAGAAGTAGCAACCAGTATCCCCTTGTGTGTGACCCTGTGACGCATCAACAGGAGGACAGCATGTCTTGCTCCGAACTGAAGGCGGAGGCCACTTGAGAGCCAGCTGCTCAGAGTCTTTCTAGCCCGTACAAAAGTAATTAATTCAATTTCATTAAATTTACCTAAATCAAATATGCAAAACAATTAATATAAATAAGTTTCCCATATTCTTGGTACGCACCAGATATATCGCATAGCAACTGTGTGGTTTTGGTAAACTAATTGGGCCATAATCTTCTAACACTGAGAAACTATGTTGCTATTGAAAGAGGATGTTTATCACCAAAAGATCCAGAATGTCCACATAAGTGATGTGTTTTGCCACTAATACCAGGTCCTTGATTATGGAAAGTCCATTAACTGGAAGGAAAACGGTTGTTCAAATGTTAATTATGGCAGATTGTTCTGTGCTTTGCAAGTGTTCTCTGTATGTGTTGTAATCATGGTGACTGGAGCCTCCGGATGTAGAGCTCTCTCCGTGTGCAGTTTTCCTTCACAGGAGGACTTGGAGATGGGGGCCTCAGGCAGTAGTTTTTAATCTCTAAGATATTACGCTACAGATGTTATCAGTGTTAACACTAATGTGGCATAAAACAAAAGTTAAGCATGGCAAATTAAATTTTAATCGAGTCATTTAAAGGAAACTTGAAATTTTTAGGAGTTTTAAAAAATAAAAGTCGACAAATTTTGTAAGAAGGACTAAATTGTGACTTCCAATTCTCAGATAGCAAATTTGGCAATTTCTTTGCAATATCACAACAGCTCTTAAAGTGCCAAAACTAAGTCAAATATAAACTGTAGTGTCTATATTTTTAAGTATCACTGATTACATGCTATTCTTGGATCTCTGCAAAAAAAAATCACTTTTGAGCAAGTTCCCGAAACAGTGAATGCAAAAATCTTAAATTATTGACTGAATTCACTTCATTATTGGCTCTGAGGTACAAAGTGGCAGGTTTCCTAGGAGGTTTGAGTGAGTTAGTCAGCCCAAGAATGTGACAGGAATGTCCGTGACTGAAGCTCATTCTTAACCTGGCTTGGGTGACCCATAGACATCAACTGTTAAAAGACTGATCTACACATACCAACTGATGTTGGTTCTCACAAATGACTTGCTCTCTGAGGAAGGAGATGCGAGGATTTTCTTACCAAGTCCTCGGATTTTACATACTAACCAGCACACAACTTTTGTTAAATAGTAATTATATCTACCCATTCTAATTTTTAAAACACACTACTTTTAGCATCAAACTGCTGTAATTTTTCTTGAATGCTGATCTTCAAATGAAAGTCTGTAAACTCTGATGAGCTATTGAGGTCCACCTTACACCTGCACCCCCCTGCCCAATTTTTCCTGCCTCTGTTGTTTTATTCCCCATTCTCTATCTGAAGTTACAGATCTTGGGTATCTTGTTAGGAAAATAAAGGTGTCCAGAGACTTGACCCTCTCACACAATTGCACTGATACCTTGTATCCATCCATCTGGGGGTATTAGCTGTCTTGTCCCCTTCTCACACAATTGCACTGACACCTTGTATCCATCCATCGGCAGGTTTTAGCTGTCTTGTCCCCTTCTCCCTTCCCCGACCAGAAGACTTCCATCTGGTTTGTGTCCTCTCTTGTCCCCAGGTTTTCCTTTTCTGCTAGGTCGTTTGCATCTACTGAGAAACATAATGTATCATCTCATCCTGAAGACTTCTCTCTGGGCTCTCAGCCCCCTCTACCTGTAGATACATTTTCCAGTTCCTGTTACAACTAGCTGTCTTGAAGGAGTTCCCCTCCTCCTCCATCCTTCCCATGTTCTCTTCACACGGCTCTATTCTGACACATGTCTTCAAGAAATTCCCTGAAGCCATGATGCCAGGGCCAGTGAACGGAAGAGCAGTCCATCAAGTTCTCTTCGCTATCCTCTTCTTGTCCTTCTTGATGGCCATTTGGAGCACACTTCTTCTCTTCCTCCTAAAGCCTTTGTCTTCCGCTTGGCCTCTGGAACATTGCTGTGTTGTTGTGTTCTTCCTACATAACTCTTTCTTCATCCCCTTTGCTTGTCTTCCTATGTCTCCCAAACCTCTAATGATCTTGAAACAATGGATCATCTCAGGATTCAGTTCTTGGAACTCCTCTGAGTCTACACTCATGACTTCTAGCTTGCCAACTTTAAACGCCATGCCCATCCTTGACCCTTCCCATGTATGTGTCCTGAACACCAGCCTCTCCCTCAACTCCACACCCGGGATTGGACCTGCTACGTGTTTATCTCCATCTGGCATTTGGTTTACTGTATCCAGAATTGAGCTCCTGACTCCTTGTTCCCCAAGACCTAACTGTGTCCTATCTTCCACTCTCAGGGGTGATAGTCCAGTCAAGTAGTCACTGACACCAACCCTAAATTCTCTCCTCTCTCTCTCTCTTTCTCTCTGTCTCTCTCTCCTACTACATTCAATGCATCTGTAGATATCTTGGCCCTGACCTTCAGACTGAATCCATGCTCCCATCTCTTCCTGCTCATTACCACTGCATCAGCCCAGGCAACTGCTGTCCCTGGCTTCTTACCTGGCCTCCCCACTTCTGCTCTTCTCTCAGCCTGATCTCAGTACTGTGGCTAGCACAAGCCCTCGGATCCCTTCAAGGCACTAGATCATATGGAACACCCACATCTCTCTCCACACATAATAGTCAGAATCCTCAACAGCTTTCCGGCTCTGAATCACCTGACGCCACCGTCACCTCCCTCCACCCCTCCACCTGTACAGTCTTCCCTTTGTTCCCCGCTGTGTTGGAAAGCCACAGTCTTTGCTGTTCTCTGCTTTAAAAATCTTTGCTCATAGCCTCGCAGTCTTTCCCCTTTTAGACTCCCCAATTGTCCTGATCAAACCAGTAGTTTTCCCATTCCACATTCATCGCTTGTCAGCCCACTGTGTCTATGAATAGCACCTTGGTTTGTATTTCTCATTTTGTCCTTTCCTAAATGGAGGCAAAATGAGAAAAGAGCTTTCTCTAGTTTGTTCAACTCATGTGATACATATGTAGAACAATTGTCTGATCCCTGAAAAGCTGTTGCATGGATGAAATAAATGAGTCACTGAGCACAGAATAGGAAGACCAGACTGTGAACTAGAGTCCTGTGTGTATAACGTTCTCATATATTGTGAAGTCCATCCCCACCAGCCCTAGGAAGTATCTGGATCTTACAGTTTTCCTCATCTGTACCTTAGTAGCAACCTTTTCTTCCTCTTCCTGAAATAGCAGTTACCTTGCCTTCTTTTGTTTGTATCATTTGCTAGGGAAAAGGCCAGTTTTCTCTCTGAAAGGCCTGTCTAAAGGTTAACTGTCATGAATCTCTGGGGGGAAGTGACAAGCCTAGAGGTCATGGGTCACTGATCTGTATGGGGCGTCCTCTAGTGTGAAGATGACTTGGCAGAGAAGAGGAGGAGCAATGAGGTCCTGCGCAGGGCCATCGAGACCTACCAGGAGGCGGCCAGCCTGCCCGATGCCCCCACAGACCTGGTGAAGCTGAGCTTGAAGCGACGGTCAGAAAGACAGCAGTTTCTAGGTGAGAAGCAAAGAGCTAAGTTGGAGAGAGATGGCACATGGCCACGTTTCGGTGGCAAGAACGTGGTACCTACTCACAGCCAAAGTGTCTACAAAGAAGTCTTGCTCTACAGCTAGCTTCTGCTAACTTGTCTGTCTTAAATAGACCTTTTCTACATTTAAGCAGTCCTAACCTCAGTAATTTTATACACGTACATGTGGGGGGGGGGGGCTCTGTCTGTGCACACACGGTCATGTGTGCTTGTAGAGAAGCAAATGTTTGTGAACATCCGGGCCAGAGGGAAACCTAGATACCATCCCTCCTTATTTTTTAAGGCTCTTCACAAGCCTGGACTCAATGGCTCTATAGTTCCGAGGACCTACCTGTCCCTGCCTTCCAAGTTTGGGGATTATAAGCCTGTACCACCATGTGTGGCCTTTTTACTTGGATTCTGGGTATTACACTCAGGTCTTTGTTCTTGCAAGTCTGGCTAGCCTGCCAGTCTTTGAGCTTTTCTCAAGCAAGCATGCAAGGCTGACAGCTCCTGAGGAAGGATACCTAAGTTTGTCCTCTGGCCTTTAGGTGCACACACACGCATGCCTATAAACATACACAGAAACACTGTGGATTTTTACATTCATTTTAATTTTTTAAAGAATTTGTTAAAATATTATTTAACTTAGAATTATGGACTTCTTTGGTTCCCTGTTTTCTTTCTTTCTTTCTTTCTTTCTTTCTTTCTTTATTTATTTATTTATCGGGGTCTTTCAAGACAGGGTTTCTCTGTAGCTTTGGAGCCTGTCCTGGAACTAGCTCTTGTAGACCAGGCTGGCCTTAAACTCACAGAGATCTGCCTGCCTCTGCCTCACAAGTGCTGGGACTAAAGGCGTGTGCCAACACAGCCTGGCTCCCTCTTAACTTTTATGCCAAGACATTCTCTTGCATCCTAGCCCTAGAGCAAGGTCACGTGTGAAGACGTATGACCTCTCACAGACATTCTTGAGTGTTTAGTGTGGTCTCTTCTGTTGAAGTGTGAATGAAGCAGGGTCACACTAGGAGGCTCGGAGGCAATGAGACGGGGACCCTAGGACTGCATGGAGGTGAAGTTGCCTCACAGTACAACAGGGGACCAGGACACAGAAGAAGGAGCAGGCAGCGGGTTTCTGTAGGAGGTACTCTGGTCTGTACTATTGTCATCGTTAACAGAGAAATTCCAAGGCAGAAGGAAAGCTGGAGCCTAGGTGGGCAGGTAGGGAGGCCGGAAGTGTACAGAAAAGAAACCAACTTGTAAGAGAAGGAATGGCTGCTTGGGCAAGCCACCCTGGGGTTCTGATGGGAATAGCACTAACCAGCAGTAGGGCACAGACCACGGACTGAATGGGCCAGGCTTTCTGCTAACACTGCAACCCTGACTGAACCTGCTGCCGCCTCCTGGCTGACATCCCTTTTGCAGGCAGCTAATCCCTCTGAGGTGGTTTTCATAAGTGCTCATCTTATTTAGCACTGTCTTTGTGTTTTCAGTTCCTGTCTCCAGTTGGGACAGAGGCAATGAGGGTGGACCCAGACTGTTTCCCTCTGAAAGCCACAAAGAAAACAGCGCCTGGGATTTCCTGAGCCATGTAGTGCACCATAGCCTGTTGTCCACCAGAGGCTCCCCTAGTACAGAAGAAGTCTCCTCTGGTCTTTAACTAGATCAGTAAGGAGAGACAAGCGACACGTGTTTGTTAGAGAAGGCTTCTGCAGTGAAGCCCCGTTCCATGTCCCTCGGTGCCCATTTATGTCAGCAGAAAAGTACCGACTGCACGGCTCTAAGTCTGACTCTTCGTTATCGACCCTCTCTCAAAAATTTTAAAGCTAATAACCCAAAATGATTTCAGCAGAACGTTTTTCTAAGGAATTAGAAAACTGACATTTTCTGAAGAAGGAATTTAAGATAAAAATGTAAATGTGGATTGACTCGGAAAATAAGGCTGTCTTTACAGTTTAGGGTTGATGCTGTGTTTACTATCTACGCAAGCCATTATGTATAACATTATAACCCTGCTACTTAGGACTCAAGAATCCATTCATAGATGAAGTCAGATGTAAGGTGTTTTCAGGCCCCGTTAAACCCGCTCGCATGGTTTGTATTCTCAGCACAAAGGAGCACATAATATTTTGTTCCTATTCATTATTTTTCCAATATCAGGTCACATGAGAGGCTCCCTGCTTACCCTCCAGAGGCTAGTTCAGCTATTCCCTAGTGATACGGCATTGAAAAACGACCTTGGCGTAGGATACCTCTTGATGGGAGACAATGACAGTGCCAAGAAGGTTTATGAAGAGGTAAGCACTGGTCCGCTGTGGACCGCACCGATTATCTTGTCTAGTGAGTTCAAGTGCTGATGGGAAATTCCCTGCCATGTGCACCGTGTCTTGTTCTCTTTATCTTGAATGAAATCGCATGTAAGTCCTAGATAGTCTGGACTTGGTTTTCCCATTTCTCTTCCTTTCCTGGACCCAGGATGTCACATCTAATATAGACTGACCTCAAACTCATGGCAATCCTCCAGTCTCAGCCTTCCAACTGCCCACCATGCCCAATTTTTCCTGTTTTGTTTTTCTTTATTAACCTGTCTCCATTGTGCAGAGTGGCAGGTCCCATAAAGATGATACAGGTATACATATACATTGACCATATTTATCCTTGTATCTTGATTGGAACAATTTTAATTTTAGTTCACGGTTACAGTAACATTTTTTAAGCTTCATTTTTATCATTCTATAGACAGTTTTCTAAGGGCTTTCTTTGTGGTAGTAACAGAATGAAGTTAATAATGAGGTTGATATGTGTAAAATTTATAATCTATTTAAGTTTTGCAGTATAAGCCTCTCAGGCAAAAGTAGATTATACTGTTTTCAAAAGGGCATTGATGTTCTGGCCAGGGCGGCTTTCAGAGAATTTCTACATTATAGTGGGCATTTTAATAGATAACCTCTAAGTCACAAGCAACTATATAACACAGAAAACTGGTTCCTTCAGGCAATGAGGGAATTTATTTGGCACAAAGCAAACAGGATGTCGAATGAAGTCTGAAGCGGGAGAAAGCTAAGCTCTGTAAAACAAAGATGGATATGAGCGCTTGTTATTCCTTAACTTGGGCCTCTGGATCAATGGTCTCCACGCCACTCCCTTTACAGGAAATGCTACTACAGTGAGCTAGCTGTGTAGCTTGAGGGACTCTTGTGTATTGAGAATGATGTCAACATCAGCAGTCTCACCCCCAGGCCGTAGACCGGGTCCACTCTCAATGTGATGCTCGCCACTATTGCTCTCAGTGCTTAACTGAAAAATCATTGAATTTTGAAGCTATTGTCTTTCGACCCATGTTATCAACTTCATTGTTTTTGAAGGAGCAGAACTTTGGCCTTGGCTTTCTATGACGTCATTGATGCCTACACAGGTGGACTGAGACATTGCAAATGTGTGCCTTCCAGAAAAGACCCACATCAGGCCATAAGACAATTCCATGTGACCATGGTGTCTGCTAGCATACCCGGTGTCCCCTGCCCTGCAGAATTTGGTTAAAAGAAACGTCATGTGTGTCAGTGATTCAGAACCGTGTAAATGTAAAAACGAACACACCATCACAGACACAGAAATGGAAATGCAGTGATCCTTCCTCCTTGTATGTCCCCTCCTTCCCACACCCCCTTCTTCTTTCTTCTTGTAAAATTCTCCCGTTTCCCATCCCCCTCTTTTCTTTCCTTCCAGTATCCTTAGCAATTTGCTGCCGTCTGGGTGTCACGCACACAGGAGGTCAGGGCAAGCTTCGAGTGCACCCCGACTGGCCTCTAACTGTACATGTCTCCTCTCTCCCCCTCCAAATCTCTTCCCTGAATGCACTCAGCTCTTCCACCTGACGGCAAGTCTCAGAAATGTGAAGCATTTTTCCTCACCTTGAAAAATAAAATTATGTTGTTTATGCACCTGAGACCACAGTCTCACCTGGCTGAGCAGACTAGGATGCACGAAGCTCCAGATATTGCTGCATCACACAGCTGATTGGTTTTCTTTTAAAAGAGCATTCATACATTGAAAGTAATGCTCGGTTTGCCTTTTCCCTTCCTCTTGCGTCTAAATGAATGAGTTGTGGCTAATGGATACTCTTTCCCTAGCCAAAGTGTGGCCTGGTATATTTATCTTTTCTCCCAGGTTCCTTTCAGAAACTGTTACCAGGGTTGCTCTTTTTGTGCACATTGATTTTTGAGTACATTTAGGAAAACCATTGTGAGATCCTATTTTTAGTTTTTCCTGGTTTTGTTTTCGGCATAGAGACTAGCTTTACAGAGATTTGGTAGGAACCGCTTGCAGCTGCAGCTTTTGGAGACTCCTACCCCATCTCCTTTCCAAGGGAGTGGCCCTGCCACCAGCTGGGGACCCCAACCCAGCATCATTGCCAGTTCTTTACTGCCCCACACACCCTGTGCTGATCTATGCCTCTGCCACGCACCACGCCCCCGTGTCTGCGCTCAGTGCTCTGATACCCAGTTACTGAGCTTCCGGCAAGGGTGCTGGAGGTTAAAATATACAAACACACACAGACAGAGAGACAGCGACACAGGTCATCCTTGAATTCCCCAAGAATGCCCCCTTTATTGTGTTCAGGGTCAGATTATATAGAGATAGCCACGCCCCAGCCAAACCCACCAGAAACCACTCTCCTGCCATCAGGAACTCCTGAAGGTCTCGTGCTCAGAACAGCTGTAGGCACTCAGATCAGGGGATTACAAGAAATTCAGGATCTGGGGTCTCACTGCCTCCAACATGGCTCAGCCAGCCTGCATTTACTAAACATACACACACCAACCAGTTCAGGACCCAATATCGAAGCAATGCAGAATGTGTCTTCATGGGGTTTCCAGTCTGGGGCCAAGCCACCACTTGTCACATTGTCTTCACTGGCCCAGTGCATTCACCAGACACCGGACATCTCTTGCTTGAGCTGGCTCCGATTCTTCTGCAGGGTTGCTGTCCTTTGACCTTCATCTACCCCAATCACCACCTGACCATAGCACCCAACTCCAACTCTGCTGGGCTTCTTCTCATAGAAATGTTCTTGAAATACCATTTACTGTGTACCCTTTCAGGGCAACGAGTTCAACCAAATGTTTGGAGTGGTTTATAGATTTAAGTATTGTCTATCTATACAGTGCATACTTTATAAAAAGTACATGCCCTCCAAATGAAATTTAAAGCTCAAATGAAATATTTAGAGTGCTTTCCAAATTTTATTGAACTGAGAAAAATCCTTTCCCCCTGACTAAAGTGTTAATATTTCAGTATCACCACCTCAAAGTGCTACTCATGATTTGGGAATACCCATGAATCTAATGCCCCCAGGATGTTTGCATTCTAAGTATCCATCCCGCAGTGCATGCTTAAATGTGATGATAGCATGTATGCTGTCCCACAGTGGGACATTGTAAAGGGCAATGAGGATCACTGGAACAGAAGCACAGTGGTCCTTGTAGCAGTCAGTTTGGTGATGGAGATCAACACTGAGTAACGAATGGTCAGGAAGCATAATATGATGTGGGTATGCTGATTCACATCCCAGGCAAGATAGAGTCGTGCAACTCCCACTGATACACAATTTAAAGCATGGATCCTAGTGTTTTCCATTTAGTATTTTGGGGTCATAATTCACTTGGAAAATAAAGTCTTGGATAAAGGAAAATAGGCGGTGCTTTAAAAGTTTGAAATGTTCCTTGCAATGAGTTTTTACTGTGGGTAAAAATATAGATACATAGATAGAAAGATAATATTCAGACATATAATAAGTGGATACAAAGACTCTCAGTCTTCTTACTATTTTAGTCTATTTTATTCTCCGTCTGATTTCTTGTAAACCCACCTGTGTCTTTGTCTGTGATTTTGTTACCCCGGTAGAGTCACTGTACATCCATCTACAAAGTGCAGAGGTGTGGTGTCTAAATGTAAAGAAACAGATGGGGACAGTGCTGTCAGCCACTCTGGCACCTACGCCCTGCCCACCCTCCTGATTCTGTGTGTACCAGGTAGGATGCCTGACTGCCCATCTGCAAATGAGCGGAGAGCTGTGGGCCTGCTGCCCAGGAACTGTACTTCAGAGCAGAAATGTTGGTCACTTCTTCTCCATAGCACAAATTCTAATTGATCTCAATAATAAAAACCCAGAGTTAGATATACGGGTAGATGCTAAAAGATCAGAGAGGCAAAAGAGCCAGTCACTAGGGAGACTTCGTACCCCTACTGAATCCTCAAAGTGAATGGAGCCCCAGATCCTGTCTCCACCTACTTTATATTCCTGTCTTCACTTCCCTAGTGTTGGGATTAAAGGCCTGAGATCCCCAGTGCTGGGATCAAAGGTGTGAGCCACCACCACCCGGCACTGTTTCTTTTTTAGACTGATTCTATTCCGTGTAGCCCAGAGTGGCCTTGAACTTCTGATCTTCCTGCTTCCTCCTCCCACAAGCTGAAATTAAAGGTGTGTGCCACCACTGGCTGGCCTCTATGGTTAACTAGTGGCTTAGCTCTGCCCTCTGATCTCTAGGCAAGCTTTATTTGTCAGAACACACACAAAATACCATACATTTCTCCCTGGAGGATTAGTTTTCTTGTGTCCCTAAACAGAGTATTCTGTGATCCAACGTGACCCCTGTCCTTTTCTCCAATTTCTTTGCCTATGGTGTTGTTTGTATTTCATACCATTTCCTTTTCCTGTTTGTGTGTGTGCACATGTGTGTGTGGAGGCCGGAAGAGGGCATCACATCCCTCATAGCCGGGGTCGCGCTCCCAGGAATTTATCTTCATTCATATTTTTAGGCCTGTTATTGTGAAATAATCTCCCACTGCCGAAAGGTTGCACAGGTAGGACATGGGTCCCCAAACATTCTGGACACAGACCCAGCTCAGAATCAAGGAACTGGACTCTGGTACCTCACTAGGCTAACACACAGGTTCCCAGCACTTAAGGCCCTCTTCAGTGTTGTTCCTGCAAGGCTCAGTGTACTCTCGTCTGCTGCTATGCTAGGTCTGTCACAGTTCCTCGGGTATTTTCCACTCCCACACCTATGAAAAATGCAGGCAGTGGTTTGGTTACAGCTGTCAGGTATTTCCTCATCATCAATATGATCACACCTTTGGTGCAGGTCAGCCTCATGAGCAGGGCTGTGCCGTCTGCAGTGATACGGGACCATACTACAGCACGTGTTTTTTCCATGGTCAAGGCAATGCCCCTGGAATGCCACCCGAGTTGCCTTTATGATCACCGTGCATCTGCAGCCATTCAATCAAGATTCTTTTCACGTCACACTCGGCCACTAACTTCAGTGACCACTGATGGATATTTTTGTGATGAATGGGTCCTAATATGATAGGCTGAGGCATGTATAGAAAGCAATGTGCAATTGCCCTCCAGGTTCTCTTTAAGCACAAAAATTCGGTGATTTTCTGTATTCGTTGAAAAACTTTGATGTCATCAGTTGGCAGACGTTTTTCTGATTGCAGAGTTAAAACCACACTTCAGCAGTTACTACCTTCTCCTTCACCACTGTATTCAGGGAGTAATTGCAAAAGCATTTTGCATTGAGAACAGTGGGTTTGATTTGTTTAATGATAGCAACGAGACAAAGTGCTACCACCGAGTGCTTGAAGCTGTAACATCATCACCCATTCCAAGTACAGTGAAACTAATTAGGATTTGTTTTGATGCTCACTTGTACAGTTTCTTCTCTGTCACAACAGCTCTTTGCTTTCCTTGACTTCAGGTTCTGAACGTGACACCCAATGACGGCTTTGCTAAAGTGCACTACGGCTTCATCCTGAAGGCACAGAACAAGATAGCGGAGAGTATTCCCTACTTAAAGGTACCTGCCGTGGTCTCCTTCCGGCTGCTCACTTCATGGACTCATTTGAGGCCCCTCCCCCCATTGGTTATGGCTTCTAATTGATTGGCATGCATGGTGGAGGCTTCCTGGCATCGGAGTGGATGCTTCATAGACAGTAGGCTCCTACACCCTGACTGAATGTCCGGAAGAGTCACCCACCACGAGATGTGCTTTGTTTGACGTCACTGTTGCCAAAATTCCCGACAGAATCTGTTTAAGTTTTCTTTAGGCTCTTAGTTTCTGGAAGTTGCTCTGGGTCATCGCGGGGATGGCATGACAGAGCTTGTGGTGGCACAAAGTGGTGACAGTAGCTTGTTCATGTTGTAGTCTCTGACCACTCATCAAAGCACAGGAGTGGCAGGTAGAAGCCAAATGACCTCCAAGACCTACCCCTGGTGACCTGCTCCTCCAGCAAGGTTGTGCAAGCCCCCAAAGCAGTGCTGCATGCTGGAGGCCAAAGCACAGGGACCCACAGGAGAGGATCCTGACTTCACCACTAATAACATGAGCAGACACTGTTGGGAAAAGACCTTAGGAAGAAATTCCTAACACCAAAGCCATTATAACGTGGTTTTCATTTTAATTAACATTCACAGTTTTCTCCAGCAACATTTACATGTGACATAGCACACACTGGTCACCCATTCCTCCATAGCATAGTTTTTACTTATTGGAGAGAAGTAGACAGAATTCATTGATAGTCTCTTAAAATATAGACAGTGTGCTAAGGGCTTTCTTCATAAGTTAAGTTCTGCTCTACAGAACTCCAGCTGCCTCATAGCAGGTAGATAGGTTTGAAGGCCAAAACTTGGCTAATGGCTCAAAACCCTAAAATATAATTGTTGCTTTTCTACCATATTAAACCGAGGCTTGGACGGTTTACCAGAATCACACTTGGTCTTGGTCAGGGCTGTCGAATAAAATCCTTGCTGTATGAGAAATATCACTTCTGTGCGTTACTCTTCCCTGCTGCACTCGACCACTGAACAGCGCAGATGTGGCTACCGCGACCGAGGAAGAGAATTCGAACCTGTTTAATTTGCTTTTGTTTGGGTAGCAGCAGTGTGGAGGCTAAGAGTAAGCTCTGCTACAGAGAAGAGCTGCAGTTTACAGGAGCTCATGAGCACTCCCCACCCCCATTACAGAAGTGGGGTGGCTGGCTTCAGTGGCTGCATCAAACGGTTCTCATTGCTGCAACTTGAGAGTTCCCATGTTGTGTGCAGTCACACAGGCGTCTAGATTCCTCTTTGCTCCACAACCCTGGGGCATAGAGCTGAGCAGGGGTGCCCTCTGGTTGGCATGTATTCTCATCTGTCCTGGCTATCATCGGACAGCATAGATCTTTCATTCTTCCCAGGGCCATGTGGGCATGCGCATTGGTCTGATTTAAGGTGCCCTCATGTCTCCTTCCACTCCGGAGGCCTGATAGTGTTCTCCTAGCTACATAGGTGGGAACACAAGAGCTGGGGCAGGTATTTAACAGACAAGGATGCTCCATGCCAGAAGTCAGTTGGTTGTGTTAGATGCTATTTTCCAACACTGTGCAAATAACATTTCTTCTGGGAGAAGATAACGACCTTTTAAATATGTGTAGGTAGTTTTATTATTATTTTTTAAGCATGGGTATGTGGAGCAGGTGCATCCACAGCACACAGCATGCTATACACGGAGGACAGAAGACACCTTGCAGGAACTGGCTTTCCCCTTGCAGCATGTGAGCCCTGAAACTCAAGCTCAGGCCATTAGACTTAGCAGCAAGTCCCCTCACCCACTGAGCCATATCACCAGCCCTAAGAGAATGGGCCTTATAAGGGGAGACCTCAAAGATACAAATTTTCAGAAAAGAAGTCCTTGCTATTAACCTATTTCAGACTTTTGTTGATTTTTTTTTTGCTTTTCTTTATTCATTCTCTTAGTATTTTCTCTCTCTCTTTTTTTAAAACAAAAATCTCCATCCCAGTGCTTGTGTGAAAAGTGGGAAGAAATAGCAAAACATTCCATAATAGAAACTGTTCAGTAAAAAAATTACATGTGTCAAACTTCCTGTTGGCTTGAATCCTGTAAATTTAATAAGAAGTTTCATTAACTACCCACAACACATTTGTCCAGGGCAGGAAGAAGTACCACGTACACTCTGGCTGCCGTCACTTGAAACTGGAGCAGTGAAGTGTCTGGGTTCAGGGATGCAGACTCTAGGTGGTGTGTGGTCAGGCTTGTAGAGCAAAACAAATGAAAATCCACCGGCAGGGAAGTCATCTGCAATAGTGAACTATGATTGTTCCCACGGCAGAAGCACACAAGCACGTGCTAATGTATGGACAGGTTCACTCTTAGTCAATGGTAGCACACAAGTGCGTGCTAATGTATGGGCCATCCACAGTTAGTCAATGGTAGCTGCATTGTGAAATTTACATTGCTAGTCTCATTTTCATACTCTGAAATGTGGACCAGCCTCACAGTCACTTTTAATAAGGAGATATAATTTTCCAGATTTTAGGTTTTCCTAAAAGATGTTGTAGTTCATACCTGAGGAAAATCTATACCAAACAAGGTATGAGACCTTAAATGTCACTTTTCATAGATGGTAATAATGACTTTTTTCCAGGAAGGAATTGAATCTGGAGATCCTGGCACGGACGATGGCCGGTTTTATTTCCACTTGGGAGATGCCATGCAGAGGGTCGGGAACAAAGAGGTACTGCTGACTGGGTTTATGATTTTATTCCAGTAGATAATGGAGTGAGGAGGGGTTATTGCTTCTAGGAACAAATTAGAGCTTTACTAACACTTTTAGCAAAAATTATTAAAGCAGAATTCTTACAAGGTCTTCGTAATTTGGAATTTACAGTTTGTTTGTTTCCCAAGGTATCAAATATGTAATCTGAAAAGTTCCTCTTTTGGTGTGTGTGAGTCAGGGTGTGTGTCTGAATGTATCTGTGTGTGTAGGAACAAGCTAAGTGCTGCCTTGGAAAAATACCTTTAAAATTAAGACAGAGGTCTCTAAAGGTGTTCTAATTTTTAAAAAATTTACAGAGATGGATTTTTATTTTGTATTTTCTGTAGCAGTTATTTTAGAACTATTTAACGCACCCCTAAGCACTGTGGTCTTCATGGTTAGCTATGTAATTGTCATATTAAATTAAGGCTGAACTTTTTCAGCTAGGATAATGACAGGTACCAAAACACACACACACACACACACACACACACACACACACACACACATTATCACTAGCCCAATTGGCACATTATCTTTGTGATTAATTTTTTCCTGAGTACAGTTGTCAGCTTGTATAAACATGGTGTTAGTTGCAAAATCATGTACCATGACTTTCTAGCCTTGTCCCACTCCACTGTGACTTACGTGCTGATGATGAGACCCACCTCTCCCATCCTATCCTGTAGGAACTTTACCTCAGCTGTCTCCAGAGTCTGAAGAGAAAAGGACAAATGAGAGAGTGGCTCTTTGTGACCTTGTCTTCCCTATGTGACATCTAAGGACAACACAGCTTCAGAATTTTAAATTTAATAAGAATACAAGGCCCTCTGGGCAGCCGCTTGTTTTTGCTCAGAAGCAAGGGTGGTTGTGGCTGTGCTGTTTCCTGCAAGAGACACGAGTGAATTCAGAGCAGTAGAGGCTTGGATGATTGGCGTTATCTCCCGTCTCCATTTCTGTTCACATGTACTTTCCCCCTCTAACCTGCCAACCATCCGACTGAAATAGACTAAGACACTTAGAAGTGAAGAGAAAGATGGGGAAAGACGTCGCTGATGGGTCGTCATTATTTTGTTCCTTCGGTTTTTGATGTAAAAAGTACCCTCCTTTGGGTGAGAAGGCTAAGAAAGTACCTGCCACCGTATCTAGTCTCATTCTCCAGGAGCAAATTCGCACATCTCCTGCCAATCTGAGGGCACTGCCTGGAATGACACAGCAAGGTCCCACGCTCCTCTGAGCTGTTTTCCTCCTAAATTCTGTCTCTGGTTCCTTTATGGCTAACTTCTGAATCAAAATTGAGGTCAGCCTTGGCTCCTCCCTCTTTTCATCCCTTCCTGAGGGCCACTTCTGAGGAACAGGCTTTCTGGGCTCTTTGGTGGCCCTGCTTTGTTCAAAGGGTGTGAATTCCAGTCTCCCATCAGCCCACCTTGTCACAATCTGCCTGTTATTTCTTACATTAGTTCCATTTCCTACATGGCCACGTTATTCTGAAAATATCTGGGATTCAAAATAAAACAAAGCCCAATTTCCATGCAATGCCATTTACAGATCCACACAGTCAAGTTGCAATCCAGTGTTCTCACCTGTACCTGTCTCTCATTCCCAGTACAGATGCTCCAGACAGACCAGCTCAAGCCAGACCACTCAGGGTAGAGCCATCACACAGATTTCTGAAGGGGAATGTTTTACACTGTGTGTGTGTGCACGGGGGTGTGTGCCTGCCTGTCTGTCTGTCTGTCTGTCTGTGTGAAGAACACATAGCAATAACTTGACAAAAATAGGAACAGCATTGATGTAGACTGCATTTAAGAAGGTAGCCTGAGTCTGGAGGTGTAGCTCAGTTACTAAACTGCTAGCCTCCTGTTTCGGTCCCCAGCACCACGGGAAGTGGGTGGTGATGCATCCTATAATACCAGAACTCAGGAAGTAGAGGCGGGAAGATCAGAAATTCAAAGTCATCTTTAGCTACACAGCAACCTGGGCTGTGTGGCCCTGTTTGAAAAAGAACAAGAAAGTAAAACAAAAACCAAGCAAAGTAGCTGGGAAAAGCTGGGGAACTCTTGCTGTCAATCTTACAGCTCCTTATTATGTTCCAAAACTTGATAGACAAGGACAGAAGTAGAGGTCATTTACATACGTTTCTTACTTGACTGAATTTTCTATGAATTTTTATGCTTTGTATTTTTTAATCTAGCCTAATTTGTTGAGTCCATTCTGTCGTGGATCGGTAGAAGCAATTTTTAAATTTCTGATTTATCATGGGCTTTCATTTCTGATAAAGGGGAAATGCTATCGGAATGCAGACTCAAGGCTCTTGTTCAGTTTGTAGTGGATGCTGTGAGCATTAGAACAGGTCACATGGTAGTGTGAACAGGCCCTGTAAGAGCTGCATTAGCCCAGGCATCCAGCACAGGGCAGCCTCAAGCCTAAGACCCTGAAGGCTGCAGTGTGAGCCACACCGCCTGCTGTCTGGGTTGTCCTATAAGTACTTCTTCTCTGTGCGAAACCATCAATATGCCTAGTCCTTCAAATGATTTACTGATGTTTGAAAAATTAAGGAACTACAAGATTTTTTTAAAGTCCTATATGTTAATTAATAGTGTTTAATTCAACATTGAAGGCTTAGGAAATAAAGTCCTAAATTCAAATTGGCTGAAGCAATAATGATCAAATTAATTTGAAAGATGAGTGCTAGAGTGCTATTTTCTTTTTCTTTCTTTCTCTTTTCTGTTTTCTTTTTTTCTTTTTTGCCTGACATCAGTTAGTCATTTTAACTTTCTGAGCTTTAAAGAACTCTGGGCCCAAGTTACATGTGTCTCAAGGACAATATATAAGAAGTATTAGCGTGTGTACTGCTTGAGATTTTAATGAGAAAGATAATTAATTAAGATTCTTTTTGGTGGTTTTAAAAAGTGGTACAAGGAAAGAGCATGTTTAACTTGAGAGAAGAGTCGTCTTCTGGTTTCAAGAACGGAGCCATTATAACCCTCAGCTGCAGCGTTTGTAAGATGGAGATGCCGGGGGCTGTTAGAAGGACCTGATGAGGTCACCTGTGTGAAAGGCAAATAATGGAGTGTTGTAGGACACGGGAGGGCCATTGAGCCCACCTTTTACAGTGCTAAGCAAGAAAATCCCGAAACATGATTATTAAACACTTTCAAAAGTTAATAGTTTTATACACTAAAATATGATATTGTTTACTTTCAATTTTTTTCATATAATAAAATCAAAAAAAGCAAAGAGTTTCAAAGTTTAAATTGTTATGTTTGGAATTTTACAAAGAAGATATTTAAGTTAACATTAAATGCTTCTTTTTATTGATCGAAGCTTGTATATTTAACCAGGTATGAGAATCCCACATGTCTATAATCTCAGCATTCAGGAAGCTAAGGCAGGAGGATTCCAGGTTTGAGGCTACTTTGGCCTATGTGAAGAGACACTGTATATGAGATGGGAGGGAGGGGTTACACATTTTTTAAAAATCAGTTCTCAAAAGAGCAGTCCTTAGACCAGACATAGAAAATGGCAGAGATGTTATTCGGTGTGCCCTACAAACTCCTCTCTAACGACAATGGGCACGTGGAGCAGGCAGCCTGGGCAAGGGCCACTTGAGGCCATATGGCAGGGCCTCATTTGGACCAGCCATGTGGAGCATTACTCTGCTGCCAGCTGTCCCTGAAAAAGCTAGTCTCAGATGCCAGCAGCATCACAAGAGCCAACCTGAAGCCATGAGTGCTGTCCCCTGTTGCAGAAAGTGCAGTACACTATGAACAAAAGTTTTCTATTAGAACGTCTGATATGAGCTACCATACGAGTTATTGCCAACTCAGAATAATATTTCCTTATTCTCTATTCTATCAGCACAGGACAGCAAAGAAAGTTACTATGAAAAGGAATTACTTTTGATTTTAGTAGTCCAGTTCAGTGACTAGCAAATGTATCTGAAATGGTCTAAATCATAATCCACCCCCTTTTCAGGAAAATATAAAAATAGGACTTACAGAATGAAAGCTAAATACAAACGTGCCCTCCTTTGGCATCTGAAGTTATGTGTCTACTCAACAAATGAGCCCTAAGCTGGCTTAGATGTGTGGAGACCAGAATAGGTGGGGGCATGGATCCAGATCCACAGAGCTGACAGCCTGAGAGAGGAAATTAAGTGCCAGGCTTCCCTTCTCCCAACAGCTCATAGGCGCTCAGTTAAAACAGAATTCTCACCCATCTCAGCAGGTTAGATCTTTATTTAATCATCTCAAGTACAGACATCCCCAAATTCAGTTTTGTTGGGTGTGAAATCAGGCTGCATTCAGTAGAAACCATACTACAAATTTTGGCTTTTGAGCTCTTCCCAGGGCAAATATATATATATATATATATATATATATATATATATATATATATTTAGATAGATAGATAGATAGATAGATAGATATAGAGATAGAGATATATAGATATATCACCATGTTGTCTGTGATGCTGAATAATGGTGGTGAGCTATGGCTGTCAGTCATACATCATGGGTTGGACTAAGGGGCCATCTGCAGGAGCTCTGGTCCTAAGGCTGAGCTGTGGGTTAGAGGGAAGAAGGTTTCCACTGTAGAGCATGGCCCCACCACAGCTCAAGAAGCCTCTGTTATTTACGTTACTTCCTTTCATTTGGTAACAACGTTTCCTCTGAGGGAGCAGTGTGAAGCAACCTTTCTGTTCTTTCAGGCATATAAGTGGTATGAGCTTGGGCACAAGAGAGGACATTTCGCCTCCGTGTGGCAGCGGTCCCTCTACAATGTGAATGGCCTAAAGGCTCAGCCATGGTGGACGCCCAGAGAGACTGGCTACACGGAACTGGTGAAGGTGAGTGTTAGCTTCCAGAGTAGCCCACCCAACTTACTTCTTGCCGAAACCACACGGTGTGGAAGGAATGTTATGCAAAAGGTATTTTCTTTCTTTCCTTTGTTTTTTGTTTTGTTTTCTTTGTTTTTCAAGACGGGGTTTCTCTGTGTAACAGTGCTGGTTGCCCCAAAATTTGCTTTATAGACCAGGCTGGCCTTGAACTCACAGAGATCCACCTGCCCCTACCTCCCTAGTGCTGGAGGCATGTGCAACCGTTCCTTTATTTTATTTTATTGATGATATTTTATTTCTAGTAAGGAATCCTCTTCTACCTGAAGCTTCACAAGCCAGGCCTCCATCTTCTGTCCCTCTCAACATTTCTATCTTTCAAGCACCCAATGCCAACTCCGTAAACTCTGAAAACATGGAGACCTTTTCTAACCCAAAGTTTCAAAATCTCTTCCCAGTCCTTTCCAAAGCACCACTATTGGCTTTATCACAGCAGTACCCAAGGTCCTTGGAATCAACCTCTGTCCTAGTCAGCTCTCTGCTGCTGTAGAGAAACACCTGACAAAACCAGCTTGGGAGGGAAGGGTTGTTTGAGCTCATAGGTTACAGTCCATCACGGGAAGTCAGGGCAGGAGCGCAAGCAGGATCCGAGAGGTAGGAGATGAAGCAGAGGCCATGGAGGAGTGCTGCTTATTGGGTTGGGTTGCTCGGCATGGCCTGCTCAAGCCACTTTATTACACATCCAAGGACTACCTGCCCAGGGGTGGGTGGCACTGCCCACAGTGGTCTGGATCATCCTCCATAAATCATTAATAATAATATTAATAATAAATCCTCCCATCTATATGCCCAAGCGCCAGTCTGATGAAGGCAGTGCTTCCATTAGGGACCCCACTTTCCAGGTGACTTCAACAACTAAATAGCTATAAAGCATGGAAATGTTTTACATCAGTAGATTAAATCTAAACTTAAAGATTACTTGTGATTTTTGGTAGAAATTCGTGAGCTTATGTTTGTTTTAGGTTAAATGTATTCATAGGCACATTAAGAAAATGGGACTCAGTATTGATTTACTAACAGTCTCTACATATTGTTTTATTTTTCAACTGGGGAAAAAAATGTATGTTATTGGTCAGATGGGCTGCCATGTTTCGGCCTCTTCAGTTTGTAGGATATTTTCTGGTTTCCCAATAAGGAACGATCTTCTGTATGAGGACAAGAGCGAGAAACAGCGCCAAGTGTAGATAGAGCCCGGATGTTGGACTTGGCAAAGCTCCGAGTACTTTCCTTCTTCCCTTTACCTCTATAGTTGGAATTCGTCACGTTTTTGGATGAGGAACACGTAGAGTACAAGATCCTTAAGATTTATTAGACTTTAATGATGAATTTGTCTGGGGGGAAGACCTGCAATATTCTCTCACTGTGCTTATGAAACAGGCCTTGTTTGACGGTTCATATTCATATCAGCGCATGCGTACGACATGCGCATGCGCACCCGTCATAAAGTCAGCTCTTCCCCCGCTCAGGCTCTATGGCTTTGTAGATCAGAACACAGTCTGGCAGTGATGTTTGCAGACTCTTTTAAGAGGCCCGCATCCTAGCAGAAAGAGTACAAGAACGCCTTGACGAATCTACAGCTCTTAGTGTAGTCCGTCGTGTGATTTTTCTTCCTAAGATTCCATCTCTTCTCAGACCCACACTGGGCTCTGCTCTTCTCCTGCCTCATCCACATCTCCTGGACTCTGTGGAAGCTGGGTTACCTGCTGTCGCTTTCAGGATGCTTCCAAATTTAAGCAATAGAAACGAAACCCCAAGATTGCTTCAGCAGCATGGAGCCTGATTGATTCTCTTATCCTGATCTTGGAAGCCTGATCTCCAAATAGATGTCATAGGTGGACAGACAGTCAGAAATAAGGTTTCTTGGCCTTACACTTCCTCCTTAGTGAGCTCTGTGGTCGCTATGTGATAGCCACTCGCACCACTAGGAGCTGGAAAGGGTTAAAGGTCATTGGGCCACCACACAAACACTAGAGACTTCCAGGCCGACTCTTCCCTATTGGTAAGCACATGTCAGAAGGTTATAAGGAGTTACAAGGAGCCCGAGACACTAGGTAGCTGCCTACAGGCTTCAGGAGAGAGGGTAGGCCTCCACCAAGGCAGAACAGTGGCTCCTGTCCTTTCTGTTTCTCTGGACTAAGTGGCTTCCCTGGGGGTGGGGGAGTGGGGTAGATGCAGGTGGTGTTGGGAAGGCAGCCTACACTGCTTGGTCTCTTTGCTGTCTCTGGGCATGCCTAGATTTCTTTCTCCGTTTTTTTTGTTTGTTTGTTTGTTTTTTGTTTTTTCCTTTCATGTTTGTCATTAATTTTTAAAGCTACCTTCACTTGTTTGGTTTATCTGCTATGAAAATGTTGACTCAAGTTTCATTATCCAAACAGACTTCTGACTTTGTGGTCCATATCCAATTACATTAACACATTCACTGTGAAAATTTGCATACCATGTAACCTAACCTCCTGGTTCCTGTGTCTTTCTAAGGATGGTTTTGGCCAGCGTCTTGGTCCATTTTGAATGTAATAACAAAATGCCACAAACAGAACATCTTAGGAACAACACAGATTTAGTTTTCAAGACTTTTTGTTTCTAGGATGTCTAAGATGGCAATAGAGGTAGACAGTGTCTGGGAAGAGCTTGCTTCCAGGTTCACAGGTGGTGCCCCCTCACTGGGTCAGAGAAAAGCCAGCCTTCTGTCAGAGCTGTACTACAACTGGGGTGGAACAAAACAAATTAGATTTTTGTTTGTTTATTTGTTTTGTTGTTGTTGTTTTGATTTTCCAAGACGGGGTTTTTCTGTGTAACAATTCTAGCTGTCCTGGAACTAGCTTTTGTAGACCAGGCTGGCCTCGAACTCACAGAGATCCACCAGCCTCTCCCTCCCAAGTGCTGGGATTAAAGGTGTGCACCACCACCTGGCCTAAACTAGATTATTTTAAATAAAGTTTTAACATCTACTAAGCTACTAAAAATTATATATATATATATATATGTATATATATATATGAAAAAAGAAAAAAGACATTAATGAGTATTAGTGTGTATATGGAGAAATGGAAACTTTGAACGCTTCAGATAGGTGTTAGAAATTGTACCACTTTGGAAAACAGTGCTTGCTCGTAAAATAGTTGGACACAGAATGAGTGCATAAATCAGCAATTTCTGCAAAACCAGCGTCCTTCAAAGTGCAAACAACTAGACAATGTGGTAACCAGTTTATATACCCTGCAGCAGTTGCAAGTCATGAAGTCCTGAGATGCCTACAGCAACATGGATGAACCAAAAAAGTCATGCCAAGTGAAAGAGGCTAGACACAGAAGTGTGTGTTATAGAATTGTATTCATATAATTGTATTCATATGAACTGCCCTGACTAGGCAAATCAGCAGGCACAGAAAATAGTGTTTTCCAAGGTCTGTATGGCTGGGAGAATTAGGATTGAGCGACCTCTAATGAGAAGCACTTACTTTTCCAACTGAAGATCGAAGAGTTGATGATTCCTCAACTCAGCATCTACTAAACCCTAATGTGAAGGACCGCTGAATAATCCGTTCAAAATAAACAGCATATGATAATGTGTAGTAGCAAGACAAGGGCAGCAGGTATCTGCAGAATGATGATGCATCATCGTCGTCAGAGCAAAATGGTGCAGTCGTTCAGAGCATGCACTCCACAACCGCACTGCCTGCTTGGGTGTTCTGAGTCATGGCCCTAGTGTGTGATATTGCCCATGTTCCCTGTATTTCAGTTTCCTTATCTGCAAAGCACGCTGGTGTTGGCTCGAACTATGTTCTGGGGGTTTAATAAGCAGGCACGCTCCGTAAACGTTAGTTATTGCTATTATAATGGTTGAAGTTTTAATTACATGATTTTGTGAATTTCTAAAAGCAACTGTAAAATTAATTCTGAAGCATCCTTTATTATTTGAATAATAATGTAATAATTAACATGGGCTGAATGCTTCCTCCCAGCCATCAGTGTGCTGAGGGCTTTTGTGTAATATTTTATGTAATATTGCTAATATAATCTTTATTAGCAGCTCTAAAAGATTATTACCCACTTACATGTGAGTGAAATAAAGATGAGAAAGTTAGGACACTTGCTTAAGTTCCCATCTTTAATAGTTTCAGGACTGGGACTTTAGCCCAGGCCACTTTGCTCTTAAGTCCGTGTCCCTCCTTGTGCCCTACAGTGGCCTTCAGAATTACTGGCATTTGCTCGTGGGCCATATGCTCTCCCTGTGCAAGTCAAGTGTGCATTTTATAACTGCATCTAACTGAGCTTCGGAGTTGCAGCGCTTGCCTGGTTAAAGCTCAGCTTCATTTAAGAAGTGAGGCAGAGGCTGGGTGTTAATCTGAGAGGGCTATAGGAATTCCTACCGCCAGTAGTCTTTAAGTTACCCACCCACTTGGGCATGGCCTCTTATACTATATATGCCGACGTAAAGCTCAGGTCTGTCCTCTCTTCTGGAAGTATGATTCGGTTCCTGTTCCCAGTTCATGCAGAGGACTGTGATCTGTGAGTCTACCCCTAAATAAATAACCCTTTATTATACTCAGTTCTGGGCTAGTGTGGGATTTCTTTTTACCGTCCTTCTTCATGAGAGTCCAGCATGGAATCTCAGCTGAGTGACACCTGGCAGCTCCGTTCTATGTGATGCTATTTCACTTTGCTGCCTTAACTTGCAGAAATATTAATATCATACACTGAATGACCTTTTCAGAAGAAAGTCATTTCAGGGCAGCTGCTACTGGTAATGACTGGATACTGAGGAGCCACAGGACTCATCACTACGAGTTGCCAGTCACCCATCAGGATTGTCTTCCACTTCCAAATTCCAGACTTGTATATTCTATATTATCCACTCACTGAGCTCTTGAAATAGAAACCTTCCAGATATGGTGGCTGTCACATTTGGCCAACATGCTTTCAAAATGATCTCTTAGTGTGTGTCTAAGGCCC